ATTATTATTATTGAAAAAAAGCAAAATATTGTTACAACAGCCTGGTTACAATCAGTTAGAATTTTAAAGTTAGTTTGGAAAAGCCTAATATCTAATTGTACCTAGTCTTAATAGTTTAGGGTTCTTCTTAATGCTCAAAGTGCTCATGACACTCTTTGATACAGTCTCTATAAATGCCACAGGGAGATTTACAGCCCTACAATGAAAAAGAGACTCATTGCAACATGTACAATGACAAGTAGTTGCTTAGAAATATTACCTCAAGCAAATCTTTACAGTCATCAAGGCAATCTGTGATTTCAATGCCTGAGAAATCATCATAATTTTGATGAACATGTTCATCATCTCCAGATTCAGAGTGGTCATGATCATGCTCGTGACCATGACCAACTGGGGTAGCTGAGACAGACAGCAGAAGTACCAAAGGAACCAACAGAATAATCCATGTGCTAGATAGAACTGCCATAGCTCTGATAGTGTTCCTTCTTTGAAATGATGTCCTTTCTCAGCTTTGCTACAGTAACTTTTGCTACTAGGGGTGAAGAATGTGACTTTTGAATGAAATTTCACACATTAACAAGTAGGCACATGATCCATACCAGGTTCTAGACTATAGCATGGTAACAGACTGAACGTCTAGCAGTTTTCAAATGAGGGACTTTGCAATTTAGAACCTCAGAGGCAGGTAGACTAGTTAATATTTGAACTATCATACCTAGCTCTTAGCTGCATTTTTTCGTTTCTTTTACTGTTCCACCATGTAATGTGTTATGATGATTCTAATACCAGGCTCGTTAGAATTATTATAATTTTAGTTCATAATCACGCAGTTTATCTTAAGTTTGATCATTATTGCTTGCAAGGCTGCAAGCATTATCATAGATATTATGCACAAAACTGTGCATTATCTATGGCATTATGCATGGATCAATACATCAAGTTGCAAATTAGGTATACATTTAGGGTATTTGTGAGGGTGTGTCGCAGGTAAGCAAATCATGTGACCAAAAATAATTAAGAAAATAAACGTCTCGTGATCTGAAGAAAGCTAAGAATATATAAAGTCTGAAAGCGTAGATCTATGCTTAAAGTGATGGGGATGTTCCTCGTTATATCATGCCTGTTATTCTTCTCCAGCTGGGCCACAGTCCACGCTGATCCCTCTTACAACCCTCGCCCCAATCCTGATTCAGTTGTGACAGCGGGTCAGGCTAGATTCACTGTATTAACTTCACGTCTCATTCGTATGGAATGGGGTCAAGCTGTAGACTCTGCCACACTGACCTTCCTCAACAGATACCTACCTACTCCATCTTTTAAGAATTACACTGAAGGGGAAGGGGAACATAAAACTACTGTCATCCAGACTGATTACCTGAAGGTACACAATTTTCTTTTCCATTTTATTGTGCAAGTTGCTCTAAAACAAGCAATTATTATTCTGAAAAACAAGCAATAATTATTTTGATTCTCTTTTTGCAGCTTTCTTATTTACCGGGTGAGTCATTTAGCACTGACAACTTAAAGATTGAGTATCAAGTTAACGGCGAGTCAGATACGTGGTCCCCGCAGCCTTACGCTAATGACTCAATGGGTGGTAATCTAAGGGGAACAGTCCGAGTGAGTGTCTTTATTCATCCTCTTTTCTCACTATGAGCAGTTTACTCATGTACATGTACATATAAACTCATCATGCATGTGCATACTGGTAATTCTTTTCTGTTTGATCAATATTAACTTTTTAGACATTGGATGGAAACGATGGCCTTACAAATCTTTTAGATTGTTATAAGACCACTAAGAGTGACAGTCATTGCACTCTTGGGTGAGTAGCTCTAAAGTTAATATTCTAAAGTAATGGCCATTATCTCTTTATAGTTTAATATCAAGAGATGGTTATGCTGTGGTTGATGATACTGGATATCCTCAATTTGATGATTCTAAATGGCCCTGGGCCACTCCCCCTAGTTACATGTACAACTCAGCTAATAGTACTTGCTCTGACTATGATAAAGAGACTGTGAGTTCAATTGTTATACTCCATTGAGTTTTAAGAATTTCATTTAAAAGTTATAATATTCATCTTTCTCTCAATATGGTAGGTTCGTTCGTGTGGGTTTCCTACAATATCGCAAGACGATTGTTTAGGACGGGGTTGTTGTTGGGCAGACTGGACAGTCTTCAAAGGAATCCCTCATTGTTATTATTCCAAACAATCTCATCAAGACCTCTACTTCTTTGGTCATGGCCACGGTAAGTCTTGTGCACTTTATATAACATTACTAACTCAGGGTTTATCATGTTGCCCTTTAGATTATAAAGGAGCTTTGCATGACTTTACACTAGTTGCTGGAAAGATACCACTACCTCCTAGATATGCATTTGGTATATTTTATTCTCGCTACTGGGCATACAGTGACACAGGCCAAATGGTACTCTACTATACTAATACTTTACTATACATTACTATTGTATTATTTTTTGTAAAAAAGGAAGTGGTCAATGGATATCGCAGTAGGAATATACCATTGGATAACCTTGTTACTGACATGGACTGGCATTTAACATTTTACAAAGAGAATGTAAAAGATCCTGTAAGTCAGTAGATTATTAGTACTTATAATCGTGGCTTATTTAAAATGTCTTTATTTTGAAAATTTAAAAAATTAGGCTGGAGAAAGAAAGGGATGGACTGGATTCACGTGGGATGAGAATCTGTTCCCTGATCCTAAAGGGTTCTTAGATTGGTATGTAGCAATTAAGACACAGTAGCCTTTATTTTGTGCACACGTCTTTGTAGCTAACAGCATGACTACCACAAAGAGTTCATTTGTTATTTCTTATTCCTGTAGGTGTAAAGCTAATAATTTAAGAAACACACTGAATCTTCATCCTGCCAGTGGCATACAAAAGTGGGAGGTTACATTTAATGACATGGTTAAGGCTATGGGATTGAAAGCATCGGTAAGGATGTGCTTATGTGCAGTAACACAAAATGATAACTATATTTTATTACTGGTAGGCTGAATATGTACCTTGGAAGCCCGTCAATGTCACAGTTAGTCCAACACGATAATTAATGTGTGGTTTATTATTGCACTCTTGTAGTTTGTTAATAATTTCTTTAGCATAGTACTCAAACGATTGCAAGATATGGGTGTTGATTTCTGGTGGCTGGACTGGCAGCAAGGTACATGTATTGACCATGAGAATGCAGGGTGTTGATTTCAATGGTGATTGGTAGGTGAAGAAGGACCTAAAACTGGGATTGATATACCAAACCTTAATCCTACCTTTTGGATCAATTATATATTCTTTACCAACCCTTACCAATGGGGCCCAATAGATGTATGTTAATCTTTCTTCTTTCTCTGACTCTTTTGTCTCCATGTCTTGTGTTTCCTTTTTGTTTTGGCTTATAGGAACGAGTTAAAAGGCCTTTCCTGTTGCATCGTTGGGGCGGTCTTGGTAACCACAGATATCAAATTGGTTTCTCTGGCGATGTTGTTCCAGTGAGTTGTGTTATATAGTTTATATATTCCTATTGTTTTATACTCGTAGAGCTGGAATTCTCTCAATTATCAAGTGTCTTTCACCCTAAGAGCCTCTAATGTACTCTTTGGGTATTGGAGTCATGATCTTGGAGGACACATTTTGCCATCCCCTCCTGAACTTTATACCAGGTATGATTAGTGTTTTTGAGTTAGTGGCATTTGGAAATAAGCCTCTATTTTTATTTCATTTTTATTTGTCAAATATATTGAAGCTGTTGTGGCAAATGTATTAATGAAGAAACCTTATTTTATATAGAAAGTTGGTGATCAAAATTAATTATGAATTTTCAAAGTTGCTCTAAAAGTTATTATTCATGAAAAATGGCTGGGAGAGAATTCTCAATTTTTTATAATTTTTCCTGATGCGTACACATGTTCTTATGTTGTGTAGAAAGTTTTAGCAGATTCTGATCAAAATTTGATTAAAAAAATTTTTTTAAGTTACTCGAAAACCAGGCCAAAGTTCCTTGTACTGTATATACTAGTAGTACATGTACACAGGGTATTCTATCACAAATGCTAGGAAAGAAATCTTCTTTGTTATGCTTTTCTGATACATAAGCTTTGGTTTTCAATTTTCAAAATTTTACCAAAAGATCAATATAGTATTGAAAACTTGGAATCCAGTAATTAACCCCTTATGTCTTTCAGATGGATACAGTGGGGAGCTTTTTCTCCAATATTTCGCACTCACTGTTCCAAGAATGTATTAAATGATCGTAGGATATGGGTCTACCCATTGGCAAGTTTATAAATAAGTTGTAATAATGTATTATCATCCTCTTAATAGGCTAATTATAAGATCATGCATGAATTTATGGTACTGAGAGGTAGTATGGTACCTTATATATACACTTATGCTAGAGAGGCACATGATACAGGTATTTCCTTTTTACTATTCATTCACTGTTTTATTTATTTATTTTATTATTATTATTATTAGGCCTTAGTCTTTTAAGAGCTCTGTATTTTGAGTATCCAGAAGCTGATGAATCATACATATTTAACAATCAAGTGAGTTGCTGTGTTATTAAGATTACTTTATTCTGTACAATCTCA